GGCTTCTTTGCCTTTCTCGGTCCACCCTCCAGCCCCTCAAGGTCCTGCTGTGAGGGGGGGACCAAGGACCAGCTCTGCTGCCATGGAAGAACCCCAGGATCCCAGCATGGTGGGGTTGGGAGGGACCTCTGGGGATCATCCCATCCCACCCCCTGCTCCAGCAGCTCACCCCCAGCAGGGTGCCCAGGGGCACAGCCAGGAGGGTTTGGGATCTCTCCAGATGGAGCTCCACAACCTCTGGGCAGCCTGGGCCAGGCTCTGCCACCCTGAAGTTTCTCCTGGGTGACTGGAGGCAGCTGGTTCCTCAGGAGGCTGAGGGACAGAGGGACCATTTTTCAGCCCCTTCTGCAGGGGAATTGTGCAGGGCTGCCCTTCCTTGGGGCTGCCCAGTGGAGCTGTGCCCATGGGAGGGGGTTGTCACCACTGAGGGGGGAGGGGGCTCCCTGTGCCCACAGCTGGAGTACCTGCACGCTTGGCTGAGGAAGGTGGAGGAGAGTGAGAAGCAGCTGAAGCAGCTGAGGGTGCAGGACGAGCAGGATTATAACCACATGAAGCTGCAGCTGGAGAAGGACGTGCAGGTATGGAGGGGTTGGAGTGTCCCTTGGGGATCTCCCTGGGCTTTTCTGGGTGTTCCTGGCTCCCTGGGGCAACCAGGGTGGGTTAAAAGCTGCTTCTTGGTCACCTGGCCACTGCTGGGAAGCTGGGAGAGATGTTTCCATGGAGTTCCTGTGTCAGTCCCTCCATGAGTCCCTTCCTCCAGCTCACCAAAGGTCTTCTGAGCCTCTTGGCCAAGGCAGAGACCTGCAGCTGCTAAAAACTGGTGTGAAAATTGGCAGCTGAGCCGAGGAGAGGGGCCCAAATCAGTGCTCTGCTGAGTGGAAGTTGGGTCCAGCCTCAGTCCCTTCTCCCTGCCCCAGAGCAGGTCCCCGTGGACCACCAGCATCTCCATCACCCAGCCAGGAGTGCTGCTGGGGAGGTGTGGAGGGGAAGATGGGGTTGGGAGGTGCAGGAGGAGTAGGATCCAGGTTTGGGGGTGACCTTTCCTCATGGGTTTGTGTGGTTTGAAACCCCAGAACCTGGAGAGGCAGCTCCAGCAGGTGAAGGCTGCCTACCAGCTGAACCAGGAGAAGCTGGAGTACAACCTCCAAGTGCTCAAGAAGCAGGATGAGGAGAACACCATCATCAGAGCCCAGCAGAAGAGGAAGATCAACAGGTAACCAACCCTCCCTGGAAGATGGGCACGGCCTTGGGGGGCATCCCCTCCCTACGTGCCACTTCTTGTGGAGCCCCAACACTGAGCACAGGCCAAGGAGCTCTGTCCCAACCCTTCCCTGGGCAGGGCCATCCCCAGGGCCCTTGGAAGAGGTTGAGCATGGTCCAACCTGTGCCAGCTGCATCCTGCCCAGTCCATCCCTAGCAGAGGAGCAGCCCCAAGTCCCAAAACCTTCACCCAAACCTGGCTTTGCCCCAAGGCTCCTCTTTGGGGATGCCCAACTCGGCTCTTCCTCCCCAGGCTCCACAGCTTGCTCAATGACCTGAGATCCAAACTGGCCCACCAGGAGAAGCAGTTCAGAGAGGAGAGCCAGAGCCTGGCAGCCACCTGCCAGAGCATCACAGGGCACTGCAAGGAGCTGCAGAGGAGGATGAGGTGGGACCTGCGTGGCCCAGCAGCTCTCAGAGCCCCTCAGGGAGGTGCAGGAGGAGCTGGTTGGGGGACCCACGGAGCCCTCCTCCCACAGGCCACCTCCCTCCCTCCCTCCCACGCAGGCACTTTGCCCTCAGGGATGCTGAGAAGTTCTGGGAGCTCTGGCTCCTGAACGAGGAGGAAGCCAAAGGGTTGGTGAGGAGAGCATTGGATGCTGGACGTGTCATCCACACCCAGCAGCTGGGGCTGCCCTGGGAGGAACCCCACCACTGGCTCCTGCAGGTCAGCCCCCTCGGGCACCACAAGGAGAAGAGGATGGAGACCAAGCTGCCTGCAGAACTGGCAGGTGAGGTTCTTGGCACCCTTGTGACACTGGAAGAGCTTCATCTACCTCCATGGCAGCCCCTACTGTCACCCCTGTCCCTGCTGTGGCAAGGTGTGGGGTCTTCTGGTGGATGCCCCATCCCTGGCACCATCCCAGGGGAGGTTGGATGGAGCTCTGAGCACCCTGCTCTAGCTGCAGATGTCCCTGTCCCTGCAGGGGTGGGACAGGGTGACCTTAAAAGGTCCCTTCCCACCCAAACTAGGCTGGGGTGATGCTGTGAGCCCAGGCAGGGACTGTCCCCAGCTCAGAGCTGGCTGCTGTCAAACCAGGTTGAGGGAACTCCCAGTTCCAGACATGCTGCCCAAGAGCCAGCTCGTGTCCCAGGACCTCTGGGGTGAACCCCAGGACCTCTGGGGTGCTTCCCAAACCCCAGGGAACAATTGTGGTTTCCCTGATGGCTCCTGCAGTGGTGGGACTGGGGAGCACAGCCCCAGGACAAAGAGTTTTTGGTGTCTCCACGGTGCAGGGAGCAGCTCTGAGGGACAGGAGGTGGAAGGGAGAGAGAAGGAGCAGGAAGGAGTGAGCCGTGGAGGAGGAAAAGAAAACACAGCAGAGGTGGAGGACAGAGCCACACCTCTGCAAAGGGTCTCCAAGAAGACTGCCAGGAGGATCCTGGAGCTCCTGAGCGATGAGTCGGTGAGTGGAGGTGGCTCTGGGAGAGGAGGAGGTGGTGGGAGGCTTGTAGTGGATCAATTCTGAGCTCCATGTCTTGGGGTGGAGGCTCCTGCATGGCACTGCTGCTGCCCAGGGGCTGGGAGAGGAGCCTGGAATCATGGAATCAGTTTGGGTGGAAGAGACTTTCCAGATCCTGCAGTCCAACCACCCCCCAGCCCTGCCAGGTCCCCACTGCCCCGTGTCCCTCACCCCACATCTCCACGGCTTGGGAACCCCTCCAGGGGTGGGGACTCCACCACTGCCCTGGGCAGCCTGGCACAGCCCTGGGCAACCCTCCAGGGCAAGAAATTGTTCCTCAGGGACAACTGAAACCTCCCCTGGGGCAACTTGAGGCTGTTTCCCTCTTGTCCTGTCACCAGAAGTCCCCCTCCTTCCCCTCCCTCTCCTGTGATGTCTCTGAGGGATGCTGACCCTCTTCTTCTGCTCCTCAGCCCCTCAGGATCGACAGTGGGGATGAGCTCTATAAGCTGATGGACCTTTTCCTGAAGCACAAAGCCCAGGAGGTGGCTCTCAGCCAGGTGGGTCCACCAAGAACAGCAGCAGGGTCCTCTGGGTCCAGGGAAAGGGGGAGAGCAGAACATCTCCTGACCCTGAAACATTTCCCTGTGCCTGGATGAGGTGCCTGGGCAGAGGGGTTGTCATCTGCTGTGGATGGATGGAGCCACTTGCCCCTGAGTTCTTCCCTCAGCTCCCTAAACTGGCCAAGGGGCAGCTGGAAGCTCCCAGGGGGTGGTAGCTCTCGAGGAGGAGGTGGTGGTGGAAAGCCCAGCACTCAACTTGCTGACCTTCCCTCCAGAGCCAGGGCACTGCTGGTGGAGGGGGCAACACAGACCCACCTGAGGACAAAGGGGATGGTAGATCTGGTGGATCTGGTGGTTCTAGTGCCCAGGAGGACAAGCCCAAAGCCTCTCAGAGCTCACTGGGCTCCCTTCCACCTCTGTACATCCCTGCTGATGATGTCCCAAAGGTGCTGAAAGCCTTCCTGCAGGATTTGGGCAAGCTGAGGTAGGGCTTTTTTTTTGTGGGGTCTGCAGGCAGGCCTGGGGGGGCTGCACTGTCCTGGCTGGAGCAAGAGCATCCCCAGCCTGCCCTGTGAGGGGACAGAGGGGTGAGGATGGTCCCACCAGCACCAGGAGCTGGAGGTGGTGCTTGGGTGAGAGCCAGGAGGTGACTGAGGGGGGCAGGTACCAGCTGGGGGGTGCTGCTCATTCCTGTGATGATGGGGATGGTGCTCAGGGCCATGGGGCTGGTCCTCACCCCTGCAGAGCTGGGACCAGAGCTTAGAATCAGAGAATTATGGAGCTGTTTGGGTTGGAAGAGACCTTCCAGATCCTGGAGTCCAACCACCCCCCAGCCCTGCCAGGTCCCCACTGCCCCGTGTCCCTCACCCCACATCTCCACGGCTTGGGAACCCCTCCAGGGGTGGGGACTCCACCACTGCCCTGGGCAGCCTGGCACAGCCCTGGGCAACCCTCCAGGGCAAGAAATTGTTCCTCAGGGACAACTGAAACCTCCCCTGGGGCAACTTGAGGC